TAAGGGCCACGGAAAAGCATGAAACTATAAATTGCTTTGGCTAACCTTAGGGCCACGGAGACGCATAAAACTCGATTTACAGTCTAAGAAGCTGAAATTGATTAGGCTCATAGTTGATTTGATGTGAATTTATGTACCCCGTTGTGCTTTTTCAATAGTTGGATCCAAATCATTTCGGTATTTTGTAGTTGTGAGTTGTATCTATATAGCCGACTTTTCTAAACATGATTGTGTTATGTTATGTCATCTTAGTTATTCCATGTTATGTCATGTTATGTTATGCAATGTCATGTTATGTTATGTAATGTCATGTTGTCTTATGATGCAGACTTGACATTTATAATGACCTAAAGATGGCAACATTTTGGTAAGGACTAGTCGGTGATGCCTCAACGTGCACTTGCAACTGTAGTGTGTTGATCATACTGAGCATTCTTGAACTTGTTTGAGTGATGAGTTATTTGGGTGACATTTTTTGCACTCCGGAAATGTCCACAGGTTCTTAGACATATCTCTCCCCCCCCCCCCCCCCCGCCTCCCCCATATCCCTAGCTATTTTTTTCTTCTTTTTTCTCTAGTGCTGTATTACCTTCAAGAGTCAGATTTTGAGGAGGCATCGGCTGAAAACCTTGGTATGTGCTACGTAGATGTTGGTATGCACGGTCTTAGATATTGCATCTATCCATGTCCTGGGTGGTAGGCCTCTAGTTCTGCTTCCATTACATCTAACTGACAGGCCTCTCTGTTTCACAATGGCCACTTGCTCTCTCCCTTCTTTCTTATTCTTTCTCTCCATCTGTAAATATATATATCTAAAAGTTTCTCTCTCAAACTCCATTTATGTGTGTGTGTATGTATAGGTGTGCGTATGCGTGAGTGTGACGTCTATCTCTATATATCACATGACTATTGACTACCGTCGACTTGACCCCCCCCCCCCCTCCCACCCCTGTCTCCCTTCTTTTTCACATCGCTCACGTCTGTATGTGTAAGAGAAAGAGGGGAGAGAGAGAAAGAGAGAGAGAGAGAGAGAGAGAGAGAGAGAGAGAGAGAGAGAGAGAGACTGTGTATGTGTATGTTTGTGTATGACGTGTGTTTCTAAAAACCACATGTACAGTAACTTCATTCACAAACCGCCCACACTAACAAAAGTTATCACTAACGACAACACCGTGTGAAGGACGCAGAATTGGCACAGTTTCTCATTACAGTCTTATCTCCGTGCCGTTTTCTCTTTCCCCGCTGTATACGGTCTACGAGGTCCCATTATGATATGTGATACGCTCAGGTCAACTTGAGACAGTTGATAGCATTCAACGATAACTTGGATATCGCCATCTATCATTAGTATGTATCATGCCAGTAAGCAGATACGGCATTGTTGTGTCGTACCATTGTCGAAACCATTTGCTCTGTTGTCTCTTGGTGTAGTCTAGCACTGGTCCTGTCCCTACTGTTGTTTTTTTTTTTTTTTCGGTTTCGTTTATTTCTGATTCAGTCTTCTGTTTTCTCATTGTTGACACGGTCAGTCCTAGGCTGGTTGACAAGATCATCTTATTGTGATTGCATACCCACTTGGCACAGGTGTACACCGCTAAAAAAAAAAGGCTCTACTCCCAGGCTGAGGCCCTTCCATTGCACTTCGGTGGGGTTGATGCCATCGATCATCCCAAATGTGGATGACTCGAGTGCCAAATTTTCGAAAGGGGAACTGCGTTCGCGCCATCCCCTCAAATTAATGAGTGTGATCTGTGGTAGCCGATCTGTGGTAGCCGATCTGTGGTAGCCGATCTGTGGTAGCCGATCTGTGGTATTGCGATTGTTAATAGCCGTCCCCATGTCGGATTCAATTTTCTGTTATCTGAAGCACCATCCTGGCTTTTGCCAGGGGCCCCGAATATAGCCGGGTCATAAATATGGCCTAACGGTTGAAAGAGGTTTCTAGGACATCTCTACGGGTGATCCTCATCCGCATGGTGGCACTTTGTGTCCCTGGTGTTTATCGCTTGTGTGATGTCATGGTGGGGTACAGCAAGAGTTACAGTGATACAAGACTTCGTTTGCATCTTGTTTGTCTCTAGTTGTTCAGTGTATCATGACAAACAATCGCGTAGCTGGTATGGGATTACATGTCTTGAGGTCTCAGAGATGTGGTTTGACAGAATCATCCTTAGAATTCCTTGAAGAGAAAAAAAAAACAAGCTACCCAGATGTTTTGAAATAGGCAATGGCTCAAAGACAATGTATCACAAACATCAGAATGAGACAATCATCATTTGTGGTCATGTTATGAGAGGGGAGAATGTGGAACCTGTTCAGACCACTGAAAAGATTTGTGAAAAGAGAGACAGAGAAAGACAAAGCGAGACAATTCTAGACAGACTTTTCGCTATAGCACGGAAAATTGTCAACACAAGAACTGATACACGCAGTTTAAGATCGCAGATTGTGGGGAAAGCCTGATCGCCCACGCCAGTCGGCTAGGCATTCGATGACCATCATGATGATGATGATGTGGCGGAGGAGATAGCGCAGTCTCCATGTCTCTCCGCCAATCTCAATTCAATGAATTCAGTGTTAGTAATATTAAAGATATTTACTTACGACACTATCTTTGACAACCAGGCGTCATTTCTATCCATCTACCTTTTTTTTTAAATCTCAGGTCTTTGTAGATGAAACAATTTTCTCGAGTACCTAACACAAAGAACAAACGTCGCAGCGCCAGGGATGATCCATAGTGATATTTGTAAAAATGGGCACTTATGACGCGAATAGCATAGCCCGATAAGGGATCTGCGAACTTCGGAGCGCAAGGCAATTAGCTCAGTCACTTGACCGCCATCCCTATTCCTTGCCCAGGAGAGACTGAGTAGTCTCACTTAACATACTTTGGTTAACCTTTCCTTACTAACAAACTGAATCAATCGTGTGGTCCATGAGGTGCACGTTTGAAAAGCATCGACCACATAAACAGGAAACTAAATTATTAAATATTTTTCTTTTTCATTAAATATTTTAGAACACGCTATTTAGTCGCGTGGCAAACCGAAAAATTACCATAGCTGTACCTGAAGTATTACAGACACTGTAAAACGTAAGTTGGTGTAGACAACCTGTTACCTCACTGTCCTCTATTTGTTTCAAATTGGAAAGAATCTGCTTTGTAAATAAGTTTAACCTATGTGTTCTGGATAGGAAGATCTCAAACGTTATAAACAAATGTTAACGTAAGGAGTTTGAAATTGTAGATAAATGTAAAGTATTTTTTAAAGGTCACACATGCTTTGTATAAAATGATACAAGAACTACCATGAATGCGAAAAGATACAACTAATTGTTTTTAAGCGAAAAAAGGTTTTGCAAAGATATTGCACACACACACACACACACACACACACACACACACACACACACATACACACACAGACACACACACACACACACACACACACACACACACACAAACATACACACACAAAAGAAAGATGCAATGCAAGACAAAAAAGATAGGTAAATCCTCAGGACAAGATAAGATCGCTGTCAAAATATGAAAATATCTTGGTAAATTAGATAGATGTATTAACAAAGCTGCTGCGAGGATACCTACAACAGTGGATATATATACCTAATGACGTTCTTAAATCTCTTGTGTATCTCTTGCCGATGAGACCTGGTAACATTGTTTGTACGAAGGTGACACCATTTTTTCTAATGAGTCTGATGAAATGTTTATTGAGAATTATGATAAAAAGAATTTTTTTTTTTTAAACCAGATAGAGCAGATGAACAGCGGTAAATGCATAAACAACGCCAAGTTTAATTTGTGAACAAAAATATAAAAATCTAGTTTGTTTTTAATAGGTTAGTTGTTCGTTTCTTGTCTAGCTCGTTTTTTTTTTTTTTTTTTGCTTGAATGTGGGCTTGTTTTACTGCCTGGTTATTTTACTTGCTGGTCAGTTCTAAGCGGCAATCAAGAAACACGCCAATTTCTAGAATGTTTCTGAGCAGTTCTCGAAGTTCTCTAAGCAAAGAATGCAAGACTAGGATCCGCGTAGTCTGTTTTGATTTTTCTCTTTGGGTGATAACCTGAATTTTAGACAAACTCCAAGACTTCAACAATATTATCAAGTATGATAACCTAAAGCAAAAATCCCAGATACCCCCTTCAATTGCAAAAATAGTTACAACTGGAGCTAAACATACCTATCATAGCCTACATTCTATGTTAGTGAAGAGTACAATAATGTGGATTCTCTCTATCTACCATATTGTGACGAATTGATGTACATATTTCCCCTTTAAAAATCTTAACATTGATAACCAGTTCCATAGGATTTCTAGCATTGATTACAGAGCACATTTTAAAATTTAAATTCTGAGGAAATATTGTACTTGGCTAAAATAAAAAATTTTAGAACCATTCTATTTAGTTTGAGAACATTAAAATGTCAATTGCTTTTTATTTAATGCTTTATTATCTCTTCTAAAAGGTCTGTACAAGTAGTCATTTTCTGTTAAATATGTACAGCATACGTTGCCATGAAAATTCCAGCAAATTAACAAATCCAGCTTTGCTCAGGTCCAGAGGTGGACCGATATTTTAATTCCACCCTGTAGTTAGATTATCTTCTCAGACTAACTTTTATTCGGGAGCTCTACTTGACAATCAACAGAGGTCTAGTTAGTTGTAGATTATAACTCCTACACTTTATTACTTCATCCTTGACATCTATAAACAGTGATCTGGAGTCTAATCCTCTCAGCACTAGATATGATATAAATTAAATAGAGGTGAGATTATGTGATTCGGTTTTGTTTCATCCATTTCTGAAACAGACTGTTCCTATTTCAACATTGCTGCTAGCGGATCGGTATTGTGAGTTGGCCAGCACAAGATTAGTTCACTTGTAAATTTATAAAGAAAATTAGTAAACTTGTCAATAACATTGACTGAAAGCAGTTAACTCTGGAAACAACTTTTTGTTTTCAGGAATGATATGGAAATCATCAAGCAGTCGTTGTGTCTGTTAGTCCTGTTTAATGGTACTCATATGTTTCTTCTAGAATCAGGTAAGAAATTGAATCCTTTTATAATTTTTATGATATGCTGGTAAAGTTAATCGTGGTAACGTTCTTTTTTTTAAGATAGCCTATTTGGTATATCTTTGCTACCATCTCTATGAATATGTGAAACATTGTACATGCATAAATGATACTATTTATTTGCTTTTAGAGAAAAACATTTTTTAGTGAAGTATCAAAACTCTTATTATGTTTCAAAAGCATGAAGTCTTATTATGTTTCAAAAGCATGAAGGGCCTTGTTTCTCCAGACCCTGCAATATTTAATGTATGTGCTGCCCGAGCCAAAACAACAGAAACGCAGGCAATATAATAATACCTTCAGGTGTTTTGTCTGTAGTTGTTACAATCATGTTAAGAGCCAGTGTCACATTTAAAAAAAAGCAATTAGAGGACGAAATGTTGCTTATGACATGACAGTCCCAGACTCCGAAAGCGAACCATCAAAGAAAATTTCACTAACCACCTGTGAAGAAACTGAATTGTGTCAAATCTGCATGAAATTTTATTAATATGATAATCCACCCTATGGAAGTAAGGTCCCCATCCAGAATGCGAACATGGAAACAAACAATTATGGCAGATTAAAACTATGTGAAGGGCAGTGTTCTTCAACCCTGGACCGTGACACATTGATGTGCTGCAGAAAAGTCGTTTGGTATATCAGAAACAACGCTCTAACCACATTTTCTAACCTCTTACCAACAGCATCAGTTACATTAGCTGACATTTGTAATTTTGTGACATTGTACTTAACATCTGAACTGCTATCTACATTTAGTTTTGCTTCTGTTTTTAGTCAGCTGTCAGTTGAGCCGCGAAAAAAATATCCTCAGGTTTGGTGGACCGTGGATGTAAAAAGAAATGAAAAGGGTAGAAGAACTCTGCTGTAGGGTTTATAAGTGAGGCAATGATTTATATTGTGAGTACATTTCACAAACTTTGCATAATTTAAATAAATTGCTGCCTGTAAATTAAACGAACTGTTGTTGACTTTTGACATTTTTTTTTTTTTTTTTTGGTGCAACCAGAAAATGAAGTGTGTTACGATAAACTGGGATGTTTCTCGACTGCTGACCCATTCACCAGCTCACAGCGGCCTATTTCGGTTCTTCCTCAGTCGACAGACAAAATCAGGTAAGAGAGGGGTGACGCAACCTGGGAGCTCGGACATATTGCCCACCCCGCCCTCATTTTTTCCTCCAATTTTTAATCGGCTCTGAACCTTTAACCTCATAATAATTTTAGTTATGCGCTGGCCCTTTCTAAAAATAGTGCGCCCTCTCAACCCCACACCCCAAGACCCTTTTTTAGCGTTCATCTAGAAAAGAATCCTTGTCCAGCTAACCGGGCACACGCGTTGTCTTTTCAGTATTCATTGATGCGTTTCATATAATATTTTAAACGCATAATTACATTTTTGCCATTTAGCAAATAATAATGCGAATTTTTTAGTAATATTAGGCATTTAAACATGACCCAAAGCCAACTATGCATGCCACAAAATCTAGGAATTTTAGAAGCCAGCAGAGATACACATCTCAGCAGCCCCATGTCCATACCCTCCTGCACGCCAGTAATTTCCGGAGAAACTTTTTGCTTTTTCGTCCTCTTCTGGACATTGTCGTTGCTGCAAAACTTACACATCTGGCTTAGTTGTATGCAGCGTGCTGGATCCTACAAAAAGATCTGCTCTAATTTTTTTTTTTTAAACTTTCTTGTGTTGATTATAGGGATCCATTTTTGCGAACAGAAAATAGACCTATTACCCCCGGCAACACCGTGTCGTAGGAGGTAACTAATTATGGGTGTTTTACTTCAAAGTTGAAGTGTATCTATGTGAAAGGCAAAGAACCAACAGTCTGAAAACGTCAAAGGAATACCATGCCATGGGTGTCTGGTATATCTGAGACAAGACTGAGTCGATCATAGAGGGTGGTATAAAGTACGAGCCCTGTCAATGGCTGATACTGAATCTGGAGCACTTACTTAGTGTTCTGGAGAATAAAGACTATGCTACTTTAACTGACACATTGCTAAATAACCGCTAAAAGTAACTGTAGTAAATGTAACAACTTAGACACAGAGCACTATTGAGTACAGTAATTGTTAGCAATATTGTGTTACCAGTGCTAAACGTGGACATTACAACATGAGAAAACCCCCGTAAAAATCGAAACATCCGAGAATAAATGTGTACGAGACAGGATAAGAAAGCACTGTATCAAGAAAGAAGTTGGGAGGAGCCAGTAAAAACTACACTAAGAGACAGCAGACCAAGTGACCTGACAATTGCCAGGACTATTACCAGACAGTGCACCACAGAGAGTACTATCACTTAAACACAGTGCACCGCATAGAGTACAATCACTTAAACACAGTGCACCACAGAGAGTACTATCCCTTAAACACAGTGCACCACAGAGAGTACTATCACTTAAACACAGTGCACCACAGAGAGTACAATCACTTAAACACAGTGCACCACAGAGAGTACTATCACTTAAACACAGTGCACCACAGAGAGTACTATCCCTTAAACACAGTGCACCACAGAGAGTACTATCACTTAAACACAGTGCACCACAGAGAGTACTATCACTTAAACACAGTGCACCACAGAGAGTACTATCCCTTAAACACAGTGCACCGCAGAGAGTACTATCACTTAAACACAGTGCACCACAGAGAGTACTATCACTTAAACACAGTGCACCGCAGAGAGTACTATCACTTAAACACAGTGCACCACAGAGAGTACTATCACTTAAACACAGTGCACCACAGAGAGTACTATCACTTAAACACAGTGCACCACAGAGAGTACTATCACTTAAACACAGTGCACCGCAGAGAGTACTATCACTTAAATACAGTGCACCGCAGAGAGTACAATCACTTAAACACAGTGCACCACAGAGAGTACTATCACTTAAACACAGTGCACCACAGAGAGTACTATCACTTAAACACAGTGCACCACAGAGAGTACTATCCCTTAAACACAGTGCACCACAGAGAGTACTATCACTTAAATACAGTGCACCACAGAGAGTACTATCACTTAAACACAGTGCACCACAGAAAATACTATCCCTTAAACACAGTGCACCGCAGAGAGTACTATCACTTAAACACAGTGCACCAGAGAGAGTACTATCACTTGAACACAGTGCACCACAGAGAGTACTATCACTTAAACACAGTGCACCACAGAGAGTACTATCACTTAAACACAGTGCACCACAGAAAATACTATCCCTTAAACACAGTGCACCGCAGAGAGTACTATCACTTAAACACAGTGCACCACAGAGAGTACTATCCCTTAAATACAGTGCACCACAGAGAGTACTATCACTTAAATACAGTGCACCGCAGAGAGTACTATCACTTAAACACAGTGCACCACAGAGAGTACTTTCACTTAAACACAGTGCACCACAGAGAGTACTATCACTTAAACACAGTGCACCACAGAGAGTACTATCACTTAAACACAGTGCACCGCAGAGAGTACTATCACTTAAACACAGTGCACCACAGAGAGTACTATCACTTAAACACAGTGCACCACAGAGAGTACTATCACTTAAACACAGTGCACCACAGAGAGTACTATCCCTTAAATACAGTGCACCGCAGAGAGTACAATCACTTAAACACAGTGCACCACAGAGAGTACTATCACTTAAACACAGTGCACCGCAGAGAGTACTATCACTTAAACACAGTGCACCACAGAGAGTACTATCACTTAAACACAGTGCACCACAGAGAGTACTATCACTTAAACACAGTGCACCGCAGAGAGTACTATCACTTAAACACAGTGCACCACAGAGAGTACTATCACTTAAACACAGTGCACCACAGAGAGTACTATCACTTAAACACAGTGCACCACAGAGAGTACTATCACTTAAACACAGTGTACCACAGAGAGTACTATCACTTAAACACAGTGCACCACAGAGAGTACTATCACTTAAATACAGTGCACCGCAGAGAGTACAATCACTTAAACACAGTGCACCACAGAGAGTACTATCACTTAAACACAGTGCACCACAGAGAGTACTATCACTTAAACACAGTGCACCACAGAGAGTACTATCACTTAAACACAGTGCACCACAGAGAGTACTATCACTTAAACACAGTGCACCACAGAGAGTACTATCACTTAAACACAGTGCACCACAGAGAGTACTATCACTTAAATACAGTGCACCACAGAGAGTACAATCACTTAAACACAACGCAGGCATATCTAGAGCTCGACTATGCAAACGATGGAAAGTTCGAATATCATCGGTCATTGGTCGTAAATACGGACCTATACGTAGCACATAATAAGGTTCTCACCTGACGCTTCTTTGAAACCTGAGCCTGAAAGGCAGAACACGACCAGAGAGAAGAAGAAGAAGAAGTAACTGTTCCCTTATTGTGCAGAACGACCTACATCCTGTACACACGAGAGCGAAGACCCGAACCCCAGACGCTAGACGCCAGGAACCCGGAGAACATCCTTAAAGTGTGGCCCAGCTTCAGTTCCAGGCCCACCAAATGGATCATCCATGGTTTCTTCCAGACAGTCAGAACTTGGTCCTGGATGAAGGTGAGATCAGTTCATTTATGATGTGCCGTCTTCACATTTATGTTTGTGTAGAAGAATCCCTTACGTTGTGAGTGGTGTCTGGAATACTTGCCGCTAGACTCGTATGTGTTTCAGTTAGGGCTCTCGCCTTCTGTCCCGTGACATGTCCGTGATATGGCCATAAGTATAACCTAAATTGCAGACTTCTGTTGGATTCTTCTTGTCACCTGACCGCTGTATGCATTCTGCTGTAGTGTCGAGTGTCACGTGACTATGCGACTTTAGACAGAAACTTGCTGCTACTAATACACGTTGTCAATATCGCAAGAGCTGCTTTTGCTTCCCATGACTGTAACCTGGTATCCATTTTCAGTTGCATACGAAGATAAGTGATATTGTGTATTTGTGTAGTATTGTCTAATCTATGTATTTGCTGAAGAAGGCTCAATTGCCTCAACGTTCACGTTTTGTTCATGTTTGTTATATTGTGAAGCTCGCTGATATACTTTTCGTTCGGTTTTACTACTGTCCTATTTTATGTTGGCTCAACCTTGATATTTTTGAAAACATAAATTCGATTGGATGCGGATAAGAACCTGACTCGCCTGCCGGCACACCAGAGTTTAGCCGCTACGTCACCACAGAGCCACCATTTAAAACTGACAGCCGTTTAGCTTCAACACTGCAGGTCTCTCACTTTGTACACTCTGACGTTTGTCATTGTCTTGAGGGTAAACTTTCCAGTTCCATCGTTTTTTATAGCAAGTATATAATAATCACATCGCATCACTTGGCTTATTCAGTCCGAGCTGTGTGATGTTCTTAAAACAGACGGGACGGTAACACTCCCTCTGACTAATTGGTAGTGATTTTGATGTCTAGCCTTATCACATAACTGCGAAGAAATGTTAACAACTTTCCCTCTACCCAGGAACCGAGATTAAAATGCTTACAAACAAGACAGTTTAATTTCTTCCCCTTTTATTTCAAAACACTATCCTATGCCTTCTTAAGTCTTTCAGTGCCAAACATCTCACATTACGCTGCTTGGTAATTCCACAGATTTATGGTGTCTTTTACTGCAGCCGGAAGTGACATTAAGCCTTTGTATCAGAATTAATAGTTTGACTTCTTGTGTTCTGTAAGGTCTCTGTTGAACCAATTCAGGCATCAGTACACATCACAGTTAAGCTCAACCCTGTCAGGTATACACTGTCAGGTATACACTGTCAGGTATACACTGTCAGGCCTACAATGTCAGGTATACACTGTCAATACACTTCTGGATCTGTCAGGTATATGTCAATACACTGTCAGTACTGTCAGGTATCAGTACACTGTCAAGCGATGACAGATTAAAAATCTTCTGTATCTTTTTATGAAGCTGTGTCAGTATCAAGAATCCAGCCACAGCTAGGGATTGAACCTAACCCATCGGCTTGGCAAGCTGAACGCACTAACAGAGATGCAGTAGTATATCTAGATGGAGCATAGGGCCTCAACCAACTCTCGCCAAATCGTCCTATCCGTTGTTATCATATGCAACTCTCCTCCATGTCCTCCCAATGTCTATAATTTCACTCTGTAGATTCTTTTTCAATTTTTTGTCTGCCATTGTTGCTTTTTTTTCTCCATATCCTTCTGTTGGTTCTTATAATGATACCTTCTAGTTATTTTCTTCAAAGGTTTTCTCAATGTGTGTGGTATCCAAATGCAGATTATTTTCGTCACCTCTTGATTTCGCTGGAATTTCAGTAATGTCTCTAAGCTCCACTCTAGGGAATCGGTCATATCATTGAACTCCGCTTCTATAGGTGCAGCACCAGTTAGTGCATGTATGTAGGTATGGTAAACAAGGTACGTTGTGCTTTACGAAGAGGGAAAAAAACATTTTATTTTGTTACAGGAACTTGCCGAAGAACTTCTGAAGTTCGGAGACTATAATGTGATCGTTGTTGACTGGTCAGGAGGGAACCAGTTCCCTTACACACAGGCTTCAGCCAACACCAGGATTGTCGGGGCTCAGATTGCACTGCTAGTCAATCATCTGATTGTGAGTGTCCACCCTTTTTATTTTCTTAGAGTGACTTTTTACTTTGTTAGCCAGTGTAGTTGAGTATGTGATGGGGAACCATTAGGTTATGTGAGACTGACCATCTACACAAGGTATACGACACGTACGCACACCTGTCAGTAATTATGTATGTGTGTGAGAAAATGGGAGAGATACACACATGCAGAGAGAGATTGGTAGAGAGAGGGAGAGAGAGAGAACAATAAAGAAAAATGATCTGACAATATGAACACATTTTCGGACAGCATGACATGATGACACTAGACCAAGCGAGGACAACCACACTGGCGTTTGCCCCTTGATGATGATGGTGGTGGTGGCGGTAGTGGTAGTGGCGGTAGTGTTGATGAGACGGAGGAGGTAAGTCATCCTTCAGCAGAGTTTGATCTCAAGTCTTATAGCCACATAATCCTCTACACAACAAGAGAATGCACACGCCAGTAAAGTGTAAACCAACAACTCCTAAAAAGTGTGCAATGTTTGTAATACTCAAGGCCATCTTATCTTACAGGAGGCGAAAGTCTTACTAACAGCTGATGACGTACATATCATTGGCCACAGTCTAGGGGCACATATAGCCGGGTATGCCGGGGAGAGAATCACCGGCCTGGGTCGAATCAGTGGTGAGTATGACTTGTGCGGCTATGCTTGGGTTGTGACAGCATTTACAGCCGTATATGTCAGTTTGTTCTCTAAATATTCTTGTATATTGTATCAGGAACGAGGAATTGAAGATGTTTGCGTGCGTGTGTGTGTATGTGTATGTGTGTGTGTGTGTTTGTGTGGGTGGGTGATTGTGTGTGTGTGTGTGTGTGTGTGCGCGCGCGTGTGTTTTTATTGTGTGTTTTTTTTTCGCATCTGCTGACTGGTACCATCTAAGTCGACCGCTCTTGCGACTTCAAGAGTCGATTCTTGGATATCACACACAGACACGCACTTTACACACACGCGCGCACACAAACACACACACGCACTCACACAACAGACTGCTATTGTCATGAGGTCACGTCCATAAACTTTTATTGCAGGCCTTGACCCAGCTGGTCCCTACTTCCGGGACACTGACCCTCGTGTGCGATTGGATGAGACGGATGCCAAGTTTGTGGATGCCATGCACACAGACGTTGAACAGGGATTTGAGATAGGTAATGCAGTCATGTCCCGTGTGTATTATCATAATAATGCGCCGTCTCCATACTGGTGGTTGCCGGTTGTGGATGTATGCAACCAGTAAGACAATTGCCTGTGGAGACATCTAGTCTTTTCCACGGTGTGACTCGCCTACCATTGTCAGACAGTTGTGTGAAGTGTCCGTGGTACCATATTTTGTGCTCACCCCAAACCCAAAAAATCCCGAAGTTCGAGGGAAAGTCCAATATTCCCGCGGTGTTATGATTTGGAGTTAGGGTTAGGGTGGGTTAATGTTAGAGTTACGTTTAGGGTTAGAGTTACGGTTAGGGTTAGAGTTGGGGTTATTGATTATAATTAGGGTTAGAGTTAGAGTTGGGGTTAGGGTTAGTCGGTGTCTCTGAGTCGGTGGCGACTGACAAAGATCCTAACTCTAATCTCAAACTATAACATTATTAGAATAATTAATTTTCCCAGGAATTCCTGGATTTCCTTTTTTTTTTTTTTTTTTTTTTTTTTTATAATGAAAAAAAAAAAAAAATACTATGTTGGCTTATAAACGTTTCCTCGGGTAACTGAACATCTTTTTTTTTTTTTTATTGTGGTTGTTATGTTTTTATAATCGATGTCAATCCTGATACGGCATTCCAAATGCGTGCTTAGTCTTCCAACGTAGCAGCCACTGCAAGGTACCACTACTGGCTTTTCCCATGAGTAGCTGGTTAGGTCTCCTCGCTCTGGCGGTCGCAAGTCGCATAGGTCGTAAGTTGGAGGAAAGTTTACAGAAACTCCAAAATGGAAATAAGTTTAGAAATAACTGTTTGCTATGGAAAAGGGGATAGCACCACCAGGTTTATTTATTTACAAACAATTACTTATCGTGCACAGGTGTGTCTATACAAAGAACATGTATGAATTACTTAATTACAACATTTATACAAATATCGATTTTTATCGTAGCCAAAAGCACGAACTTCATGGCACCAGCGATGATTAGCGCTACTTGCATGGTGAAAGTGCAGCACAAAGCACAAACTAAATAACTCCAACAAGAATTCGTAGTGATTTTGAAAAAATTGCACTGTTGTCAATGCATAGATCCAGTCTGAGATATAAGAAGGAAATATCTAATGACTGTAAGACACTGTGACCCAACTGTGTGGGTCCCCTGGACCCCATTGATGGCGCAAACAAAAACACAAACAGTGCACCCACTTCTTTTCGGAAGGTTACAAGTATGTAGTACCAGGCGACGAATTCGGAATTTCGCTAAAATCAAATGTGTTGGACTGAAAAGAATAGCAGTAAAACACAACACAATGTGTCTTGTGCAGTTTAAGAGTGAAACACTTAAGAGGAATAAATTCTTTGTTTTGATCGATCAATTTGTGCCCTGCGGTTTGCTAAACAATGAGCTCAAGACAGCCAAGATTTTGAAGCTTTATTGACGTGCGAGACAGACAACATCTTGAAGCTTTATTGACGTACAAGACAGACAACATGTAGCTTTATTGACGTACAAGACAGACAACATGTAGCTTTATTGACGTACAAGACAGCCAACGTCTTGAAGCTCTATTGACGCACAAGATAGACAAGATCTCGAAGCGTTATTGACGTACAAGACAGCCAACGTCTTGAAGCTCTATTGACGCACAAGATAGACAAGATCTCGAAGCGTTATTGACGTACAAGACAGCCACCATCTTGAAGCTTTATTAACGTACGAGACAGCCACCATCTTGAAGCTTTATTAACGTACGAGACAGCCACCATCTTGAAGCTTTATTAACGTACGAGACAGGCACCATCTTGAAGCTTTATTAACGTACGAGACAGCCACCATCTTGAAGCTTTATTAACGTACGAGACAGCCACCATCTTGAAGCTTTATTAACGTACAAGACAGCCACCATCTTGAAGCTTTATTAACGTACGAGACAGCCACCATCTTGAAGCTTTATTAACGTACAAGACAGCCACCATCTTGAAGCTTTATTAACGTACGAGACAGGCACCATCTTGAAGCTTTATTAACGTACGAGACAGCCACCATCTTGAAGCTTTATTAACGTACGAGACAGCCACCATCTTGAAGCTTTATTAACGTACAAGACAGCCACCATCTTGAAGCTTTATTAACGTACGAGACAGCCACCATCTTGAAGCTCTATTAACGTACAAGACAGCCAACATTTCGAAGCTTTATTAACGTAGAAGGCAGTTAACATATTGAAGCTTTATTGACACACAAGATAAACAACATCTTGAAGCTTTATTGACACACAAGATAAACAACATCTTAAAGCTTTATTGACATACAAGATAAACAACATCTTGGAGATTTATTGACACACAAGATAAACAACATATTGAAGCTTTATTGACATACAAGATAAACAACATCTTAGAGCTTTTTTGACACACAAGATAAACAACATCTTGGAGATTTATTGACACACAAGATAAACAACATCTTGGAGATTTATTGACACACAAGATAAACAACATCTGGGAGATTTATTGACACACAAGATAAACAACATCTTGGAGCTTTATTGACACACAAGATAAACAATATCTTGAAGCTTTTTTGACATACAAGATAAACAACATCTGGGAGATTTATTGACACACAAGATAAACAACATCTTGGAGCTTTATTGACACACAAGATAAACACCATCTTGAAGCTTTTTTGACATACAAGATAAACAACATCTTGGAGATTTATTGACACACAAGATAAACAACATCTTGGAGCTTTTTTGACATACAAGATAAACAACATCTTGGAGATTTATTGACACACAAGATAAACAACATCTTGGAGCTTTTTTGACATACAAGATAAACAACATCTTGGAGATTTATTGACACACAAGATAAACAACATCTTGGAGCTTTTTTGACATACAAGATAAACAACATCTTGGAGATTTATTGACACACAAGATAAACAACATCTTGGAGATTTATTGACACACAAGATAAACAACATCTTGGAGCTTTTTTGACATACAAGATAAACAACATCTTGGAGATTTATTGACGTACAAGATAAACAACATCTTGGAGATTTATTGACGTACAAGATAAACAACATCTTGGAGATTTATTGACGTACAAGATAAACAACATCTTGGAGCTTTTTTGACGTACAAGATAAACAACATCTTGGAGATTTATTGACACACAAGATAAACAACATCTTGGAGCTTTTTTGACATACAAGATAAACAACATCTTGGAGATTTATTGACACACAAGATAAACAACATATTGAAGCTTTATTGACATACAAGATAAACAACATCTTGGAGATTTATTGACGTACAAGATAAACAACATCTTGGAGATTTATTGACGTACAAGATAAACAACATCTTGGAGCTTTTTTGACGTACAAGACAGCCAACATCAACCCAAATACCCTTTTAAAAACACCTCACACTGGACGACAGACCAGCAAGGCCAATCTCAGATAGAAAGCTCAACTGTTGTACAGTGACGACACAACCAGTCAGGTGTAACCTGTTGTCCTGTTCGGGACAGGGCACAAAACGTTTGCAATATTAAACTTTGATGTGGTTTACAAAGAGTAATTATAGACGGCCTAGTTGCTTAAGGAACTGGCAACGAGAAGAACTTCTTGCATGTAAGTTAGGATTCGCCTATTTCAGCATTCTTTTAGAGTCTGTTACAATTACGACATGTGTATGCATCTTGTTCTCTAGATTTGTGATAATGATGATGATGTTGGTGGTTGCGATAGTGGTGGTGATGATGATGATATCAAATTGTCATGCAGGTTTGGGCACGCCAACACCCAGTGGCCACGCTGACTTCTTCCCCAACGGTGGAAATGACCAACCTGGGTGTGGGGGAACGCTGGTCTCGGAAATATTAAAGAGCGGACTTGTCAAAGGTATGTAACTGCCCAGTGAAGGCTCCTGTGGTTTGTGACATGCTTGCTAAAGGTAGGTAACTGCCCAGTGAAGGCTCCTGTGGTTTGTGACGTGCTTGCTAAAGGTAGGTAACTGCCCAGTGAAGGCTCCTGTGGTTTGTGACATACTTGCTAAAGGTAGGTAACTGCCCAGTAAACGCTCCTGTGGTTTGTGACGTGCTTGCTAAAGGTAGGTAACTGCCCAGTGAAGGTTCCTGTGGTTTGTGACGTGCTTGCTAAAGGTAGGTAACTGCCCAGTGTAGACGCCTGTGGTTTGTGACGTGCTTGCTAAAGGTAGGTAACTGCCCAGTGTAGACGCCTGTGGTTTGTGACGTGCTTGCTAAAGGTAGGTAACTGCCCAGTGAAGGTTCCTGTGGTTTGTGACGTGCTTGCTAAAGGTAGGTAACTGCCTAGTGTAGACGCCTGTGGTTTGTGACGTGCTTGCTAAAGGTAGGTAACTGCCCAGTGTAGACGCCTGTGGTTTGTGACGTGCTTGCTAAAGGTAGGTAACTGCCCAGTGTAGACGCCTGTGGTTTGTGACGTGCTTGCTAAAGGTAGGTAACTGCCCAGTAAAGGTTCCTGTGGTTTGTGACGTGCTTGCTAAAGGTAGGTAACTGCCCAGTGTAGACGCCTGTGGTTTGTGACGTGCTTGCTAAAGGTAGGTAACTACCCAGTGTAGACGCCTGTGGTTTGTGACGTGCTTGCTAAAGGTAGGTAACTGCCCAGTGTAGACGCCTGTGGTTTGTGACGTGCTTGCTAAAGGTAGGTAACTGCCCAGTGAAGGTTCCTGTGGTTTGTGACGTGCTTGCTAAAGGTAGGTAACTACCCAGTGTAGACGCCTGTGGTTTGTGACGTGCTTGCTAAAGGTAGGTAACTGCCCAGTGAAGGTTCCTGTGGTTTGTGACGTGCTTGCTAAAGGTAGGTAACTGCCCAGTGAAGGTTCCTGTGGTTTGTGACGTGCTTGCTAAAGGTAGGTAACTGCTCAGTGAAGGTTCCTGTGGTATCAAAGAGACTATCTACATTCTTTGTTCATACCGTGAGAGGCAGGAAAATAGAACGTGACAGCTGGAAAGTTGGAAGAGAAAGACTGAGACCTCATGTACACAAAATTCAAGATAGGCGTATCAGCCATGTGCACCTGTGGAAAAGCACCCCAGACTGCAGAGCATGTACTCCAGGTTTGCATCGAATTTGACACATTAGGACAAACCTTGTGGCCAGAAAGAACAACAGTAGAACGTAAACTCTATGGACCACTGAATAAACTAACAACGACAGTGAAATTTATACAAGAGACAAAATTCGCTGATATAGACAACTTAATTCAGGCGAACGAAAGAAGAAGAAGAGAAGAGAGAAGATGCTGGACAGTTTGACGGCATTGTATGGAGGATCATCTGTGTCAGAGTTGACTGAGAGTAGAGGTGACAGAGGGCTGTGGATAGACATGACTAGCAACGACACACGGCATGGACTTTAGGCAGACAGTCCTGGGAAGTAAAGACGGTCGGCGCGATGCTGACTGGTCTAAAAAAAACATGAGACTAGCATTAGTGTATGGGTGGGTGATTGATTGTTGGCTGGCTGGATAATTGGTTGGTTCCTGGATATATGGATTAGTGGAACCGATAGCTGGTTGGATAATTGGTTGGTTCATGGATATATGGATTAGTGGAACAGATTGCTGACTGGCTGGCTGTTTCGATGACTAATGAAGTAATTGATTGACTTTTGCTCCATCTGACTCACTGATTAGTCTATTCTTTTATGTTCTTTCTGCATCAGGTGTGGCCGATTCTGTGTTCTGTAGCCACATGCGAGCAGTCGAATTCTTCAATGAGAGCATCAACTCCCCTTGTCCATTCTTGGCCTTTCCGTGTGCCAGTGAGGAAGACTTTGAGGTGACCCTTCTGTTTACAGAGTACCAATGTTTGTTACCAGTGGGATCTTCCCTTCAACAGAGAGCTTGTTCTTTGGTGAAGTGATGAGAAAACGTTGTTACAAAGTCGGGAGACTGCGCCCTACACGGGTAGACACAAACCCGTTACATATCTCTGACTACCTAAATGTCAATGCACATACAATAGGAGCAGCAGCAACAGAAGAACAAGTAGTAATAATAATAGTAGTAGTAGCAGCAGCAGCAGTAGCAGTTGTAGTAGTTGTAGTAGGTGTTGTAGTAGTTATTTTGTTGTTGTTTTTGTAATAGTAGTAGTAGCTGAGGAACAACAACATTGATGACACGAAAATAGTCAAAATAACAATAATAGTAAAAACACAGTCGGATAACAACAATAAAAACAACAAGGAATAGCAATATGCCCAGGAGTTAACGTGACTGTTATTGTTTGCTTTTAGATCATATCTTATTCACAGTATCCTTGTATGGAAAGCCATTTGAGGTGCTTGCCTTAGGCCAGCGTTTCCCAAACTCTTCTTAGTCGAGGCGCCCTTTTTTTTTCAATTATATTTTTTCCATGGTGCCCTAACCTAAGTAAAATTATAACTATCGTTTGTAAGAAAACACAATCGTTTATCTTCGAATATCTCGCGGCGCCCCTGTAAAGAGGTCGCGGCTTCTCGGGGCGCCGCAGCACACAGTTTGGGAATCACTGTCTTAGGAAATGGAATTGTCACTAAGAGGCTTAACAGAGTGGTGGGGCGGGTAGAGGGGCACACGCAGAAACAATCAGATGTTTAATCAGTAGCCTACAACAACAACAATCAACAAAAGGGGGAATCCTGGTTACCAGTTTTCAAAAGGTGATATGAAACGAAACAAATAAATAACAATAAATTAATTTTAGATAACATCAGTAATGATAAGAGTAATAGAAGTAGTAATGATAAGAGCAATAGAAATAGTAATGGAATAAACATTAGTTCCAATATGGCTGATGGTTATAATAATATTAATAAGAATAAAAGTATTATTAATAAGAACAACAATAAATAGTAAAGCAAGAAGTAAGAATACGAATATTATTGAAATGTAGGATTCCTGCTAAGCGCTTCCACACCTAACCTAAGAACTAGTGTTCCCCACATTTGCGTATGTTTTGCATGTCTGTAGGTCGTGCCATGTTGTGTGTTACTGCTAGTGAATGCGGCAGTGTGCTTCAAGGAGCATCAATGTCTGGGCTATTTAGCTAAGCTCACTCAGTTGCCAACATTTTGAAAGTGGCAATCGTAAAGACCCAGAGGCTAGAGCCCCAGTGTAGTAAGATCACTAATATAATACAACTGGCAGTGATCTGCGGGCAACTTGCCGTGCCTTCGCGGACCAGATTTGACCCGGGGGCTGCCAGTTGACTAGTCTTGATCTCAGCTAACGCCATTCTTTGCCACCAGGAAATGCTTGGAGAGTGAAGTCCGTCGGCGTGATGGTCATCACCTGACCAATCAGTGAAGTCCCTCGGCGTGTAGTCAATACCTGACCAATCAGTAAAGTCCGTCAGCGTGATAGTCATCACCTGACCAATCAGTGAAGTCCGTCAGCGTGATAGTCAGCACCTGACCAATCAGGTGCTCTTTGGTCTACAACCATATTAGATTAAAATATACCCAATACATTTTGTTCAGCAGAAATTGTTTTCCCTTTACCTTCTTTGCGTTCACCATCGGTAAACTTATGTGCAAAAATCTGCTTGTTTGCTAACTTCTGGACTTTTGATCTGTTCCAGAACTTAAGTTTTACGCGTGTATCTTTTTTACAGATCTGACTTAGTCGTTTGCAGGCTGTCGGCTCTTTGCCTCTTGTGCAGATGCACTCCGACTTCAAAGAATCCCCGAATTAGTCGACCGTTACGACATGCTTTTTAAGGAGACAGTCTATTCTTTTTTTCCCCACAGTAGGGCCCCAGAACCCATATGGAGATAACTGTGTGATTATATAAGTCTGATGTACATAAAACACTGTCACGTATATGTTCGAGAAGATTCAATACGACGGGGTAATGTGTGACATTGAGTGAACTAACCATTATTTCCTAGGCCGGTCTGTGCCAGAGCTGCGGCGTTGTGGCCTGTTCACGTATGGGATTCCACGCAGACAAATATAAACCTCCCCCAGGACAGAAAGTCATATACTATCTGAAGACAGGAGCCCAAGCGCCATTCTGCTGTAAGTTTCAGTTCATTTCTCTACATGTGCACTTATGTATGGTTAGAATGTGGGTGGATATTTGCTATCTTCACCGTCAATAAGGCTACAAGATGGTGAGTGTCCTTAGCTCATTAAATAGGTTTACTAATATTTAATTGTTGTTGATGATGTCTATATTAGGCAACCTAGTAGACTTACCATTTATTTTGACTACTTTTTGAAAGTTCAGTAATGAAAGTATAATTAGATCACAAAGTAGTGTTTGTAATTAGGACGTAGATATTGTGGGGGGAAAAAAATTAAATTATTATTGTTAGCTATGACATGATATACGAATAAATAATTGTATGCAAGGAGTTGACAGAAACAGCAGTATGTTAGACGGGCCTGCGTTCCCAATTCCTAACCCCTTGAAATTAAGGTTAGTTCGTTCGTTCGTGCATCTACATTGCTGCAAGCTGTCACCCGAATATAATGGCTTATATTAAACACAAAATAAAGAGAAGAACACGCAGAGAGTCGTCAAACAGACAAACATGGGAAATAAAAGAATTGACGAATATACTGGTCGAACGGTTAGGACGCTGGGCTCTCTTGTGACAGACCGAAGTTTGACGCCTCAGTAAGGTTAGGGATTTTTGTTTTCTGTGAGAGGCAAAAATAAAATCCTCTATGTCGATAGTTCTAGCCACGCGACCCTAAATGCTTAGGCTCAAAGACCCCCTAAACCGCAAAAGTAGTACTTTTAAATATATATATAAATATATAAAAAATGGCAAAGGAAGTTTAAAATAAACCCAAATGATGAGGAAAGAGGCCAAATAGTGATGACCAAGGTCAAATGGTGAGGAGAGAGGCCAAATGGTGAGGAGAGAGGCCAAATAGTGAGGAGAGAGGCCAAATGGTGAGAAGAGAGGCCAAATGGTGAGGAGAGAGGCCAAATGGTGAGGAGAGAGGCCAAATGGTGAGGAGAGAGGCCAAATAGTAATGACAAGCTGTAACAAGTTGTTTACTTATCAGAAGCCTAATTTAAATTCATGTTTTACATCTCCAGTGTACCACTACACGGTGACTGTAACATTCTCTAACGGATCCTGGCCGAGTGTTTCTGGGCGTGCCTCAGTTGAGATCAACTTAGACGGGTTCAAATCTTCCTGGGTCTCCTTAACAGGGTCCGTACATGAGGTTTTACTTCTGTCTATTTGTATTTTTTAAGTATTTTTTTTTTCAGTTACACTTTTACATTATAAATCAATCAGATAAACAATCAATATAAACTCCTCACGTCTCACAATTAAACAGTCAATATTAACTTCTTACATTTCACAATTAAACAACCAATGTAATCTCTTCATATCTCACAATTAAACAACCAATCTAATCTCTTCATATCTCACAATTAAACAACCAATCTAATCTCTTCATACCTCACAATTAAACAACCAATCTAATCTCTTCATATCTCACAATTAAACAACCAATGTAATCTCTTCATATCTCACAATTAAACAACCAGCGTAATCTCTTCATATCTCACAATTAAACAACTGATATGTATTCTTCATACCTCACAAATAATGAGGTGTTTTGATTTCTTCATATTTCACAATTAAACAACTAATATAACCTCATAATAGCTCACAATGAAAAAATGAACAAAATTTATGTAAAACTAGCAGTACCCGGCCACGCGTTCCTGTGGCATAGTTTGGCTTATTGGAAAAGAAAGAAAACAGAAATCGCACGTGTCTAATATGGTTATTGTCGCAATCATTGTCTGCTCAGAAATAGAGATAGTCTTTGATCCCTCCTCCCCCCCCCCCCAACCACCACCACCACTAAATCAAATTACTTCTTTCTCCCTCATTAAAAGGATTTTGGAAAAGAAAGACAATAGAAATCGCACGTGTCTAATATAGTTAATGTCGCAATCATTCTCTGCACAGATATAAAGATAGTCTGGTTTTCCAACTTTAGATTATGCACTATATAATTGTGTCTTTATATTAGTGGTCGTTTAAATTGTGTTATTAGCATTGTAACAAAATTGGTTATTTGGTTATCACATGCTAAACCTGTATGTATTTTTATAGCAGACGGAAGTAAAGCTACTACTGTACTTGAAAATAACAAAGTAAGTTGTTAAAAAAAATTAGAATAGCGGAGGGTGCGTTAGTAAAATATAAACAAATTAACTAATGAGAACTTTAAAATCATATGTTAAGCTCTTTAAGTTAAAAATTTCATTCATTACCCCCCCCCCTCCCCCCTCCCCCCCCCCCCCCCCCCCCCCCCCCCCCCCCCCCCCCCATCCACCGACTACTGCTCTCTCCCTCTTTGAAGGATTTGAAAATCATCACCTGGCGTAACTTTTTTTTTTTTTTTAATTTGTAACTGACATTGACATCCCTGTCCGTCTGGACTAAAATGGGGAGCAGGAATTGTAATAGGCAGTAAATGCGGATAGTGTAATATTTACAACATCACCCTTCAAGTACCAGTACAACTACCATCACGACCACCACCACAATAGCTAAAATAATGTCACTGCTCTCTGTTTTACCATCAGAGTAGACAGGGAGTCATGGCTAGTGCTGTCGCAACGGACTGTCAGGTTAGGATGTATAATTTCGCTCCCCGACAGAAAAACACCATAACATTACCGGCGGTCTTCGCATGAGAGCACTACGGTGTAACCGCCCAACCACAACTACTACTGCTGCTGCTACTTTGAGTCGGTAAGGCAGTTACTGTGACTTAAAGCCCTATTAGTAAAGAGTGCGCCCCCCCCCCCTTCCCCTTAATTCACCAACTACTCTATCCCTTATTGAAGTAGTTGGGAGACACACACACAAAAAAGAATTGAAAAGCAACGCAAACAGGAAAAATACACCATAATTAGGAAATGAAAGCTATGGTAAACAGCACAGCTTAAAATTCCAACGCAGATGAAATAATTAAATTTAAATGAAAATAAATGGAAAGCTATGAAATTTCAGCGTTACCATGCAATCGGATAGTTTAAAATGAAATCATAAGTATGCGAAATTGTAAAATTTAATTATCAACTGGTTTACCCACATACCTGTCCTTTTTTTTTTTTTTTTAAATAGTATTAAGGCCCACATAGCTGGCGCTGTCGCCACCACAGGTTAAAAAAAAACTACTGCTGATTCGAACCCTGGTCTCCCGCACAGAAGCCTAGTGTTCTAACCATTCGACCAAGCAACCACTCCATCGGATAGCGAAAAGAGAACAAAACTATTTGAGATGTGTGTTCCTACTACTGTGTCCCGATTATAACACAACTCAAAACCGCAGGCAATTGTTTTCTCATAGACAGATATTCCAGATATACTATTGAAACGTCTAAACCTTGTGTAGAGAAATGTTAACATCTATCCTTTTTGTAGAGAAATGTTAATACCTGTGCCATCTGGAAAGACGTATTTGTTCTCTTTATGTTTTCTGGCTTTCAGCTCGGTCGTTTGTGTGTCCGCTTCTGGACTTTGCTCTTGTTTCGGAATTTGTGCTCTGCGTGCACATCCGTTTCACATCTCTGTCTTTTTTTTTCTGGTTTAGAATAAGGATTCCTCGTATCTAAGGGACATGCACTGTAGAAAACACAGAGAATTAGTCGCCTTTTGCGACATGCTTGTCATGGCAGTGAGTCTTGTCTTGTTTCCAGAACAGAGCTCTAGAACTAACTGTTGAAGAAGGAAATATGTGTTATAATTACTGAGTTACATATTTTAACCTTTTAATGTGTGCATATTATTGACTGATTTCTGATATTTTTATATTGATTGAGGGACGTTTAACCCCAACAGGACCGCACAAAGATCCCTTAGGAACCGGTGACACAAAATGCTCCCATTCGGATGAGAATCCCCTAGGCGCAAGTCCCAAAAACCCCGTCTAACTGTAAGGTTATATTAGGGCCCTCGACGAGGGTACTAAGTACCATATTGCGACGGACGTGTGAATTGCTGTATTATGATTTCTAATACAGTAAAACCTCCTTAACAATAATTTGAACGATCCTAGCAATCCTGTTAAGAAAAATCTAGTAATCAGAGACAAAAACATTTATTAATATTTGTATATTCCAGCTGGAAAGACAATTATAATTTGATTAGCAGTGTTTGTCTTAAGCCAGTTATGGTAATTATGTTTTACTCTGTTTGCAAAGGAGGCTGCGTGGTCTCAAGGCATGGCGTCCGCTTCGAGTCCTAGAGGTTCCGAGTTCAATCCCTGGTAAGGGCTAGGATTTTTTCACGTGGACTTGCACTTCTAGTTATTCTCACTGGTTTCCGGGTAGTGAGATCTGACGCCCGTGTGCATTGATGTACACTTAATAAAATCTGTTGGCAATTTGAAATCGAAAAGAGTAGCCTAACGGCGCTGCCCGGACGAAATTTGGAGTAAAAAATCTACTTAAAGTATTTCAGGATCCTTGCCGGTGCTAAAGAGCCTGTGCACTGTGCTGAGCTTCTTCAGATTCGTACTTGAGTTAGAAGAAGAACGGAGCACTAATGGGTTACTGTCCGTGTGCCATGATGTTGATTCGGTATTCAAAACCTCAAACTCTGTTTGGAAATTATTGTCTTAATTTTTAAGTTACGTCCCTTACCCTAATCCACTATCTATTTAACAAACCCTACCTCCCTGGGTCACTTACTGTCATCTTCCTTCCCTGCAGCGGCAAGATGACTCAGAGTTACCGTGTGATGGATATTTTGTGTGTGATGGATTTCATTTTACAGGTGATAGTTTTTATGAGCTCTTGTTTGTAACTGTATCATTATTCATTAGTGTCCATGCTGATGAAAGCTTCTAGCTGCAACGCTCATTTTGTTGCTTGTAATGTTTTTCAGCTTAATATCTTTACTTCACGTTTGGTGTGATATTTATTTATGATGTTACGATATAATTACAATCATACTGTTAACACGCTTTTTTTTTTTTTTTTTACAGAGATGAGACTAGGATATTTGCACCAGGACAGACGGCAACCTTCTACGTGGACCTACCACAAAATGTTGGCAATGTCACCGCTTTGTCTTTCAAGTGGCAGAAATCTTTCTCCTTGTCGACGCTTTTTAGAGATCCAAGCGTCTCGATTGAAGGCATCGATGTCTACGCCCATGAGTCTGGAGCTAGGTCTGTGTTGTCTGATGTTGCAAGGGTAGAACTGGTTATCTGTGCCATACTCCACAGTACAGGTTAGAGTTTCGCCTGCTGCCCCGAATGTCTGTGGTTCGTCCTGGGTCAAGTCCTGGGAAGTCATGGCGGTCTGTGATGTTCACTAGTTCACCCATCAAATGTCGTTTTGTCTACAAATATGTGAGTTTAGCATGTCTAAACATAAACAATGGATAAACATACATACAGAAAAAATAGATACACATGAAAAAAAAGGCAGTCATAGCAAAAAGGCACACACAAATTACAGACGCAAAAATACAGACATATATCAAGCCAGACATATATTAAGGCCTTATGATAGACACGTGCCCGCACGGATAGAGGGACAGACAGCTTGACAGAGAGACAAGTCGACAAATATATAAAGTGCCAGACCTACTAACGAATAGATAGACAGACCGTGGAAGAGACAGCTATTTGGGTTATATACGTACTTGATTCGCCACTTAGCGGTCTTACCTTATAAAGCCAGCAGTCTTCCACATACATGCTTACACACTGATGCGCCAGCACTGTTAAATCATTGATACCACCAGCAAGTACTTGAGTGTCAGCTAAAGCACCACAGATTCTAAAACATCTCTGCTTACATAGACTTGCATGTCAGTGAATCTTGGAATGTGAGCAAGCAAATTAGGAAGAGCTTGGAGGCAACTGAGACGTGGTTCTTGGAAGAATGTTGCGAATACATAGGACTGCTAGAATAACTAGCATTAAATGCCTGGAAATGACTAATGAAAGTACATCATTATATACAACAATGACAAAGAGACAAACAAAGTTCTTTGGTCACGAGATGTGCAAAGGAGCACAGGAAAATATTGTGACGACTTGAAAGATCACTGGTAGAAGAGGCAGAGGCAGACCAAGAGAAATGATGGTGGATGGTTTAGGACAGTGGTATGTCATCGGTGGAATTGATCCAGAACACCTAGCACCGAGATGTGTGGAGATGGATGAATGCCTACCCCAGCTGGCAAGGCACTTGATGATGATGATGATGATGATGATGATGATGATGATGATGATGATGATGATGATGATGATGATGACATATGCTGACCAGACGTCCCAGTATCTTCTGGAGTCTCACTTTGTTTAGGTGTGTCCCAACCGTCACCTCGGTATTACATTTATTTTTGAAAGCAGTTTTCTCACTTTAAAAAAATCTAGGAATCAGCTGGAGAGGAGAACACACACCTATGTCTATAAACTGAGAACCTTATTATAATTCATAATTTTAGATACGTTTAATGCTTGAAATGTTGCATTTAAAAAGCATTTTTTTTTTCAATTGTTTTGGGGACAATGTTTGCGGTTTTAATACCACTATAGAACAAGTAATTGATTCTTTTACCCCGGTGACCTACGTACACACAACAAAAACCGAGTTGCTTGGCATGCCCCGTTTTCAGCTCAATATATTTTGGTCAGCCTGAAGGTAGAAGAAGACTGAAAGTAAACTAATAACTTTTATTTTGAACGTAATTTGTTCACAGAGGTTGGTGCGTTACTTTACCGAAGGAAAGTCCTGTTAAATTGCTTAGAGGTTAGTGACATCGTTTCACAGATCAATCGTCGACGTTTACCAGGGTTCGATTCCCGCGGTGTTTGGTTTAGAAAACAAACGGTTCTTGTGGCTATCAGACAGTAGGTGCGAAGAGTCGCAATGTTGGAGTTGCTGGAGTCTGACCACTTACTATGACAATAGTTAGCTGTGTATACATCACAACCGACCTTTATTGTGTAAACTCTGGCGGAAAGTCCCGGTTGTTTGTCCACTTCTAGACTTCGGCTGTGTTCCAGAACTTGCTGAATTTTGCGTACATATCTGTTTAACAGATCCTGTTTTATTTTATTTTTTTTTTTTTTTTTCATTCTTGTAGTTTCACGCCTCTTCAAGATATGCACTTAGACTTAAAAGGTAACTTCAAAATTTTTTTTTTTTTCAAAGAACCGGCAATTTGATGACCTGCATCTTTAACCGTTTACTTCCAGGTTCAAGTTGTGTGGTCAAGGTAGGAGTGTGACCTCTGGGACATCCGTCACCTTTTTGGTGACTTGCTGACACAAGACTGCTTGGTGTGCTCACCCCTGACCTCGAGTTATTGCAGATTTATCAAAGATTCCGACATAACGCCGCTTACATTTTTGCCTAATATTATTACCGACGTATGATAATAATAAATATTAAATATTATTACTTGTGTTTTCTCCTGTTATTAATAAACAAACTTAAATGCTATGTATATATATACAGTGAAACCTCGCTTAACGAACATAATTCGTTCTAGAATCATAGTCGTAAAGCGAAACACTCGTTATGCGAAACAATTTTTCCTATATAAATTAATATAAAATACGATAATGCGTTCCATGTCGAAAAAATACTTACAAAATGTTGTGTATAAAGTTTATTCAAAAAAAATTATACACATATTGTTAAGGAGAGCGAATCACTTTTATCTTTTCTTCTACCGCGGAATGTACCCACATGGAATGCGAATTCGATTTGCGAAAAAAAAAAAAAAAAAAAAAAGTCAAAATAATTATGATACGTAGCTAATTTGTTTTTACTAGAAAGATATCCAGAGACATTGTTTTTGCCGACGCTTCAAAATTTGGCGAAAATGCGACACAGCACTATCATTAAATAAATTTGCAGCGCGCATATCCACTTCCTTATTAGGGTGATTGTTTTCAATGTAAGATGCAGGAGTTTCCCATGCTTTCAGCATTTAATTTATTTCGCCAGAAGATTGTTGGATCTTTTCTGTTACCTCCTCCCCCTCCTCTAAAAAACTTTCCTCCAAAACTTGTTGCTGTGAAACACAATGCAACTCCTTAAGCTCTTCGGTGGTCAGCTCTTGGCTGTGCTCTTCCACAAGCTCTTGGATATTACTGTTATCCACCTCTAATCCCATGATAGTGGCCAAAGACACAATCTCGTTGACTACAGGTTCCACGGGTACTGAATCAAACCCTTTAAAGTCACATTCGACAACACTCTCCTACCAAAGCTTCTTTCAAGCAGAAGTTAGGGTTCTCTTGGTAACCCCTTCCCCCGCCTTGTCGATCATCTTGAGGCAGGCAACGATGTGGAAGTGATTTTTCCAAAACTCTCTGAGAGTGAGGTTGGTATCTTCAGTCACCTGAAAACAATGCTCGAAGAGTGCTTTTGTGTAAAGCTTCGTAAAGTGAGAAATAACTTGCTGGTCCATGGGCTGGGGTAACAGAGTGGTGTTGGGAGTTAAAAACTGGTTCTTGATGAACTTAAATTCTTCAGGGAGGTCATCTTGTAGGCCTGGAGGATTCATGTAAATATATCACAGACTGATGTAACATGCGTACAATCCGGGATTTCCCCTCTCTTCGCCATTCGTTATTGCGAAACGTCGCTCGTTAAGCAAGTCATTCTTTTACCATTTGTTTTGCTCGTTATGCGAATTACTCGTTATGAGAGGTGCTCGTTAAGCAATGTTTTACTGTATTAGTTTGACCCCGTTAGGACCACACAACAAGCGAAAAACATCTTGTGATACAAAGTGCCACCATCCGGATGCTAATCACCCAGACGATAGTCCCAGAAACCCCGCTTACCCACTAGGTTACGTAAGGGCCCGGACAAAGGCCGGAGTGGGGCTTCAAAATAACCAAGAGCACAGGCCTCAATTCCTTTTTTTTTTAGTGTCACATGACAGTAGAAGCAACAACTTGTTTTTTTAAATACCCCGCTTTCACCTGCATCATATTTCAAGGAATGTGTTTGTAATTTGCGCTTATAGGGCAATAAACATTTCAAACGGCAGTTTCTTTGCCATCGTTAGTACTCCTACCATTTAAGGAAGTGTTAGTAGATAGATAGATAGATAGATAGATAGATAGATAGATAGATAGATAGATAGATAGATAGATAGATAGATAGATAGATAGATAGATAGATAGATAGATAGATAGATAGATAGATAGATAGATAGATAGATAGATAGATAGATAGATAGATAGATAGATAGATAGATAGATAGATAGATAGATAGATAGATAGATAGATAGATAGATAGATAGATAGATAGATAGATAGATAGATAGATAGATAGATAGATAGATAGATAGATAGATAGATAGATAGATAGATAGATAGATAGATAGATAGATAGATAGATAGATAGATAGATTAGATAGATAGATAGATAGATAGATAGATAGATAGATAGATAGATAGATAGATAGATAGATAGATAGATAGATCGATAAATAGATAGATCGATAGATAGATAGATCGATCGATAGATAGATAGATAGATAGATAGATAGATAGATAGATAGATAGATAGATAGATAGATAGATAGATAGATAGATAGATAGATAGATAGATAGATAGATAGATAGATAGATAGATAGATAGATAGATAGATAGATAGATAGATAGATAGATAGATAGATAGATAGAGAGAGAGAGAGAGAGAGAGAGACAGACAGACAGACAGACAGACAGACAGACAGACAGACAGACAGACAGACAGACAGACAGACAGACAGACAGACAGACAGACAGACAGACAGACAGACAGACAGACAGACAGACAGACAGACAGACAGACAGACAGACAGACAGACAGACAGACAGACAGACAGACAGACAGACAGACAGACAGACAGACAGACAGACAGACAGACAGACAGACAGACAGACAGACAGACAGACAGACAGACAGACAGACAGACAGACAGACAGACAGACAGACAGACAGACAGACAGACAGACAGATACAGATAGATAGATAGATAGATAGATAGATAGATAGATAGATAGATAGATAGATAGATAGATAGATAGATAGATAGATAGATAGATAGATAGATAGATAGATAGATAGATAGATAGATAGATAGATAGATAGATAGATAGATAGATAGATAGATAGATAGATAGATAGATAGATAGATAGATAGATAGATAGATAGATAGATAGATAGATAGATAGATAGATAGATAGATAGATAGATAGATAGATAGATAGATAGATAGATAGATAGATAGATAGATAGATAGATAGATAGATAGATAGATAGATAGATAGATAGATAGATGGATGGATGGATGGATGGATAGATGGATAGATAGATAGATGGATAGATGGATAGATGGATAGATGGATAGATAGATAGATAGATAGATAGATAGATAGATAGATAGATAGATAGATAGATAGATAGATAGATAGATAGATAGATAGATAGATAGATAGATAGATAGATAGATAGATAGATAGATAGATAGATAGATAGATAGATAGATAGATAGATAGATAGATAGATAGATAGATAGATAGATAGATAGATAGATAGATAGATAGATAGATAGATAGATAGATAGATAGATAGATAGATAGATAGATAGATAGATAGATAGATAGATAGATAGATAGATAGATAGATAGATAGATAGATAGATAGATAGATAGATAGATAGATAGATAGATAGATAGATAGATAGATAGATAGATAGATAGATAGATAGATAGATAGATAGGAGACAGAGGGTCAGATATGTAGACAGGCAGGCAGACAAAGGGACACATAAACTGACAAAAAGGCAGATCGGTTGGTGGATAAACGGTTAAATAACAACTAAGTTTGCAGTACAACTGCATCAGCTAAACCTGTGTTATCTACTATCAGTGAATATAATTTGCCTCTTTACGAAACCCACGTGCACGCCTATGTTAGAGATGTAATTTGATATGCCGCTCTTTATTCATGAGGATGTCAGAGCAGTGGTTGTCTACCTAGGAAGGTAGTTGCTTTGCATTGCTCGCCACCAAAATCCATGAAAAAGACTTTGCAGTGCTAATGCGATCAAAAGAGACAGACCCAAATACTGTCCCCGACCGCCGACGATGTAATCTACCGTCGAGTTAATGAATGACCCTATCGCAAATGTGTCTTCTAGCTAGGAAAAGGGAGGGGGGGGGGGTGCACAAGGAAAGTTCAAAGGGACGTCAAGCAGTTTTAACCCTGAGTATATCTGAACTTGAAAAAATCTGTTATACCAACATACCTTCGGTATAATTATAAATAAAATATTTTTTAAACTATTTAAAAATCAGAAAGCCCGTACAAGTAGTTTATAAATCTACCGTTAAAAATCTCTTGAATAAAATTAACAAATATGTCAGAGACAAAATTACCACATTTGCACGATACCAGAAGATTCTCTCGTCCGTGTTGAAACGTTGCAAGATAATTTTTTTTTTTTCTGATGAGACATGATTCGATTGCAAAGAATATACTTTATGGAACATTAGAATGTTGAATTAAGAATCGACATCACAGCACTCGGGACACTCCCATAAGCGCTCCGTGCCCATATTCAGCAGCAAGCGAAGAGTTCTAATTCCAGTGGCACCAGTAACTGTCTGACTGAACATCTGTCTCGCCCTTCTCTTGAGTGTTGACCGTCGGTCTGATCCCCTGGTAACTCCTCGCAGCGCCATTCTCCCGAGACCGTAGTGATCTATTTGTCCCTCCACACGATTCACTGGCTCACAAAGGGCACTCACAACATCTACCTTGTCATACGTCAATACACCACCAAGTTATCCCGAACCGGCCAGTCTACTTGCATGAACATTAGAGCAAGGGTTGTGGTGGGAACGTAGTTAAAGAAGAGGGGGCACAGAAGAATGTGGATTGATAGCATCAAAACTTGACAGCAATAAGTTATCGTAGACTTGTTCATCTAGTGGAAGACAAAAATGGCGGGTTTTGTATGCTACAGTCTGCTCCAGAAATCCTGTAAATACCTCACATATCTATAACCCAGTAACTGTTCGGTGCAAGTTATTGACATTTGTTATGAAGCCTGTTAATAATCATTTATTTGTAAGACTTTTTTTTTAAACTAACATCTAGTTTTCATTTTGTCTCATTTATACAGAGACTGATTCAAGGTGAACAACCAGCATGCTTACAGTAAATTGAGCCTCCTGTGAGTTTCGGATTTTACATTGAGTGGGGAATAGACTATGACAATTATCACTACACATCGCTGCACATGTGAATTG